CACACAATAACAAATGTTGGCGGGGTTGTGGGGAGAAAGGAACCCTTCTCCATTGTTGGTGGGAGTGCAGACTGGTGCAACCACTACGGAAATCAATATGGAGATACCTCAAAGAGCTTGGACTGGAGGTTCCATTTGACCCAGCCATCCCTCTGCTGGGTATCTTTCCAAGAGAACTAAAAGAATCATATCACAGAGAAGTATGTACACCCATGTTTATAGCGGCACAGTTTGAAATAGCTAAATCTTGGAAACAGCCCATTTGCCCATCCGTTGGAAACTGGATAAAGAAGATGTGGTTTTTCTATAAAATGGAATATTACTCAGCCATAAAGAATGAGAAAATAGATTCATTCATAGGAAAATGGATACATATTGAAGATATACTCCTAAGTGAAATAAATAAGTCACACATGTGTAAATACCTAATAGTTTCCCTGGTGTAAATAATCTGCAACAATGCATAAGATTCTAATAAGATTACTGACATTTAGAAATGGGAAGAAAGGAGCTAAAGGGGTAGGGAAGGTGGGAGGGGTAGGGGAAGAGTAAAAAGGGTAAAGAAAAAAATGTGAGAGAATGAAAAGATGAAAATAAAGTGTTTGTAGATGGGGAGGGGAGGAGAGGGTGAAGGGAGGGCAGAGGTAAGGGGAAAAAATGAGAATCAAGACTTGTCATGTGGAGGTACAAGATCCCAACAATGAATGTAACTGTACTGTATCCCTAAAATGTACCAATAAACTCAATTAAAGCTGAAAACAAAACAAAACAAAACAAAACAAAACAAAAAAACAACTCAGGACCTTACAACCACTGAGCTAAATCCCTGGCCCAATTACATACCATTTTAATGTCTGCTTTAGCTTTTTCCATTTTTCTACTGCATTATTTTATGATAACAAATGTTATTTTTAAGAAAATTAAAGTCAAACATTAACAAAGTACCCTCCTGCCCAAAATATAAAAATAATGGAAAAACAAGGCAAAATGGGCATTCTCTGCTAAAACCAATCTGAAAAACATTTTAGCTATGTATCTGTGTATCTGCACATGCACACACAATACTCTAAAATGTTTCATATCATTAAAATTCTAGGAATTTTTCTAAATGAATACTCCTAAATGTGAAAAAGTTTATAAATGATAGTGTTCTGTTCATCATATATATAATTATAAATAATAGTTTTAAGAGGGAAATTTAAAGATATTTACACATCTAAGAATTTCAAAATGATAAAATAACATAATACATCTCTATTTTCCTTTTTTTTTGTCTCCCATTTTACTAATCCTCCCTACCCAGATCTCTTATTTCTTTCTCTTTTTTCATTATTTCTATAACCATCTATTTGCCCCATACTTTTTTACTCTAGTCCAGTGATCCATTTTCACTCCTTCAGAGAATTTATATCCCTATGTTGTGTCTCTACAATGTCCATATATATTTTTCTATTTTGCACAGAGCAAAAATTCAGACATAGCTATTTATGATTATTACCATCATCATCGTCATAATCACAGTGTGTTGTTTATATCTTTATAAGGCTCTAGAGTATAGGAAATATAATTTTACAGGCAAAATCATAGCAGATATTGTCAAAATCCAAAAGATAGTAGTTACTATGAAAAATTATATTCCAACAAATTGGAAAAACTTGAATAAATAGGCAGATTCATAGACTCATACAAATTACCAAAACTAAGCCAAGAAGACAAAGAATTATGAATAATTCAATAACAAGCAATGAAATTGAGGCAATCATAAAAAAACCTACTAACTATAAAAAGCCCTAATGGATATATTGCTGAATTCTACAAAACCTTTAAGGACATTAAATCACCATACTATTCAAACTTTTCAATTTAAATGAAAGGGAAGGAGTGCTTCCAAACTAATTTCTGGAAGCCAGCCTCACTCCGATCCCCAAACCAGACAAAAGCCCAGCCAAAAAATAAATCTACAGGCCAATCTCCTTAATTAACATATATGAAAATCCTCAATTAGATATTGGCAATTGCAGCACATCGACAAAAGGATCATACATCATGACCAAGTAACTTTCATCCCTGGTTGCAAGGATGGTTCAACATATGCAAATCAATAAATGTAATACACACATAAGTAGAAACAAGTACAAAGATCACAAGTTTATATCATAAGATGCAAAAAAAGCTGTTGACAAAATCCAGCACTCCATGACAAAACTCTGAAGAAAATAGGTATAGAAAGACCTTACCTCAACCTGAAAAAAATCATTTATAACAAACCAACAGCCAAAATCATATAAAATGGAGAAAACCTGAATGCTTTCCCTATAAAACCAGAAAACAAGACAAAGATATTCACTATCACCACTTCTATTCAACATCATACAATTTGAAACATTGGCCAGAGCAGTCAGGAAAGAGAAAGAAAATGGTTATGTATAGAAAAGGAAGAAATCAAATTACCATTATTTGCAATGACATGATACTCTATATAGACATCCTAGAGAATTGGATTTTTAAAAACCTGTTAGAATTATCAATCAATTGGGCCAAGGATTTAGCTCAGTGGTGCTGCCGCCTGCCTCACAAACACAAGGTCCTGAGTTTCATCCCTGGCACCAAAACAAAAAAGAATTATT